TTTTTTTTTTTTTTTTTTTTTTTTTGAGACGGAGTTTCGCTCTCGTTTCCCAGGCTGGATTCCAACGGTGCAGTCTCGGCTCACTGCGACCTCTGCCTCCTGGGTTCAAGCAATTCTCCTGCCTCAGCCCCCCAAGTAGCTGGGATTACAGGCATGGGCCACCACACCTGGCTAATTTTTTTGTGTTTAGTAGAGATGGTGTTTCACCATGTTGGTCAGGCTGGTCTCAAACTCTTGACCTCAGGTGATCCGCCTGCCTCGGCCTCCCAAAGTGCTGGGATTACAAGTGTGAGCCACTGTGCCCAGCCAATGTTTGTACTTTTGTAGAGATGGGATCTCACTACTTTTCTTTTCTTTTTTTTTTGAGATGGAGTTTTGGTCTTGTTGCCCAGGCTGGAGCGCAATGGCGCAATCTCGGCTCACCGCAACCTCTGCCTCCCAGGTTCAAGCAATTCTCCTGTCTCAGGCTCCCAGGTAGCTGGGATTACAGATGCGTGCCACCACGCCTGGCTAATTTTTGTATTTTCAGTAGACAGGGTTTCATGATTTTGGTCAGGCTGGTCTCCAACTCCCAACATCAGGTGATCCACCCGCTTCGGCCTCCCAAAGTGCTGGGATTACAGGTGTGAGCCACCACGCCCAGCGGGTCTCACTACTTTTCCCAGGCTGGTTTCGAACTCCTGGGCTCAAACCATCCTTCTGCCTTAGTCTCCCAAAGGGCCGGAACCATAGGCGTGAGCCACTGTGCCCGCCTTCTTTTTTTGTTATTACAGTTTGGTTTGAACTACATCCTGAAAAGGGGGAAGTATGGGGGGAAGTGGAAAAAGAAACTGTAGACCCACCATATCCTATAATCAATGGCTGTTAGTGTATGTACTACATGCTTATGATCTTTTTTCTCACCAAGATTATAAACGTCCCTAGAGCACAGATTACCTCCTTTTGGTATCCTGTAGTATCTAACACAATGTGCTTTAGAAAGTAGATGTTTAAAACATATTTGTTGATGATAATACCCAGTGCTATATACAGATGGTTTTGCATCAACCTGGCCATGCTATCTCATTCATACTTCATGTGCTAGATAACTTGTCTTTTCCTGACGGGTTCCTAGAGTACAGGGCAGCAAAAAAGCCAGCTAGAGTTTGTCAACCACACAAACAAGACTTGGCAAGGCCATGGCCTGATCAGCCAGTAAAGATACATTGAGCCACTTTTAGATTCAGGTAGTTTATTACTTAAATACAGTGCATAAGGAAAAATGCACAATGGTGATAGATGCTTGTGATCCTTGTCTCATACATCAAAAATGACAATACAGTTGACTCTGTATCTGTGCGTTCTACATCTGGGATTCAACCTACCTTGGGTCAAAAGTATTTAGAAAAAAACTGAAATAAAAAAATAATAGGCCAGGCATTGTGGCTCTCACCTGTAATCCCAGCACTTTGGGATGCCAAGGCAAGTGGATCACATGAGGTCAGGAGTTCAAGACCAGCCTGGCCAACATGGTGAAACACTGTCTCTACTAAAAGTAGAAAAATTAGCCAGGCGTGGTGGCAGACGCCTGTAATCCCAGCTACTCGGGAGGCTGAGGCAGAAGAATTGCTTGA